TTTATTACCAGAGTCAGGACTTCTCTGACTCAGCAACTGGACAGCACCTTTCGCTCGAGGGAGCCCAACCCTTGCGGAAAGGATTGAAAAGATTTCAGCCTATTAGGGACGTACAAGACCAATAGGTGGCCTCTGAGAAGCTTTCTCCAGGAGCACAGGAACTTGTAGCGGTGCCTTTGTAAGTTCTCTCTGCAACACTTTTATCTTAAGAATGAAGGTGCTCACTGAGCAAGAACTGTGGAGTAGCAGGCAATGACTGGAAATACTGCTACAGCTCAGCTATCGGCCAAGGACCGACGGGCTAAGCAGCAGTTCGGCAGAAAAGAACCTGGGGATTCCAGTGGATGAGAAGTTGGATGAGAGCCAACAGGGCGCCCTTGTAGCCAAGAAGGCTAACGGCACATTAGTGTGCATTAGGAAGAGCAACGCCAGCAGATCTAGAGAAGTGATTATTCCCTTTTATTCGGCTCTGGTGAGACCATATCTGGAATATTGCATCCAATTCTGTGCCCCCCACTATAGAAAAGAGGCAGATACATTATAAGAGTCTAGTGGAAGGCAACAAAAATGACTAGGGTGCTGGAGCACATGACTTTCGAGGAGAGGCTGATGGATTTGGGCTTATTTAGTCTGCAGAAGAGAAGAGTGAGGGGGGGAATTTGATAGAGGCCTGCAACTACCTGCAGGGGGGTCCAAAGAAGATGGAGAGAGGCTGTTCTCAGTCGTGGCAGGTGGCAGAACAAGGAGCAATGGGCTCAAGTTGCAGTGGGGAAGGTCTAGGTTGGATATTAGGAAAAACTATTTCCCTAGGAGGGTGGGGAAGCCCTGGGATGGGTTCCCTAGGGAGGGGATGGAATCTCCATCCCTAGAGGTTTTTAAGTCCCGGCTTGACAAAGCCCGGGCTGGAATGATTTAGTTGGCGTTGGTCCTACTTTTAGCAAAGGATCGGACTTGAGGACTCCTGAGGTCTCTTCCACCCCTCTGATTCTATGATACTCTGGTCATGGCCTTTGGAGATACAGCAAAGCCCAGGTTGGCCGTGAGGCAGAGTGGACACAGGTGCTAAACGAAGACTTCAGAACAGTCCTGCAGTGGAGCATGGAGACAAGGGGTAGGACTGCAGTTACCCTGAAACTGTGATCAATGCCATCCAGACCCTAGCAGTGATGACAATTCCTAGCCATGCATCAAATTGTGCCCCACGTTCGCTTCGTTGTGGTGGGGTTCAGAGTAGGCGAAAGAAAAATGTCTAAAGCCTATTGCGTGCTCCAAATCAAAACTACCAAGTGGGCGAAGGAAGTCAGCACATGCTGGAGTCAGCAAGACTCCTGCGATTTCTCACCTACCTATATACAGTTCCATCTCGGAACTCAAATAATTAGCTCCGTTTACACATTCTACACTCATGGGCCACTATTTACACCATTTTGTCTGAAACATTGGTAGGACAAACCTAAGACTGCTAAAAATTTCATCACTGAAAAAGAATTAGAAGTGTCAAGTAGTCAAACAGGCAGCCTAAGCATCATAAAAACAATGCAGAAGATTGTGGAATTCACATGGGGAATTAGCTTTCCAGTGGATACCAAACTCTGAGATTTACATTTGGGTACTATTTTGTTCTCCTTTTTCATCTTAACACAGCCCCTGCTTGCCTAAGCTTGAGGTACCAGCTCCATTTGTTACACTTTCTGGTGAGGATGAGCTGGGAACCCCACACGAATGCTTACGTTCACAGACATTCAAAGCCATGCTGAAGAACAGCCCGTTATCAACAAATAAGAGGCAAAGTCCCTGCTCTGATGAATTTACAGTCTGACACCGTGATACAAATAGTAGGAGAATCAGAATACATATCGAGCAAACATAGAAGAATGAAGTGATTAACAAGGCATTCATTTCATTGAGTCACAGTAATATATCATAAGTAAATGCCTAGGGTTTATCGTCGGAACCAGGAGATACTATGTTCATGGAACTAGCAACCACCCACTTGTGTGTTTTTTAAAAATATGGTCCCACGATATTTTTACTGGAGAAAAAAACTTAACGTTTTACTGCACCTGTGTGTTCAAGCCAATCCCAGCCATACAGGAATCATCAAAAACTTCAGGGCAATCATGAGGTTCTATGTATAACACCTGTTCATGAACACCTACATTCCAGCTACCCCGGGGCTGCCACAAGATAGAATGGAAAGCTCTTCCAAAAAACGGACGCCATCCGAAGCTAGACAGATCAATGATTTCCAATTCACTTCCACTCCTAGGATGTGGCATACCACCAAAGCAGCATTCTGGCTCTGGAAGGGAAAAGCGGTGTTCATGTGGAGTTGGTATTTTCAATAAGCTCATTTGACCCAAGAGTCCTAGAATACTGATGTGGTTTTTCCATGAGGGAGAAAAAATGGTTTAGTATCAGATCAAAGGGCTGAGTTTGATACTGGAACAATTACCTGTGTTAAAAACAGTTATTGCCAGTATCCTCTTGGCACATCTGCAATAGGCCTGGAGTTCTGGCATGCTGGATAGGAGGAGTGCTGGGCAGCCCTCAGTGACTAACGGGTTAAACTCAGGTAGCTAAGGGTTTTGGCAGAGGACTAAAACCCCCAATGGGATACAGTGCTGAAATCTGAATTGTATATAGATCCCCAGCCTGCTCTCTAGGGCTGTGTCCAGACGCAGGGGTTTTTTCGAAAAAACTTCCCCTGCGTCCAGACTCAAGCCGCGTTCTTTCGAAATTAAATCGAAAGAACGCGGCTTTTCTTTCGATGGTGGTAAACCTCATTTCACGAGGAAGAACGCCTTCTTTCGAAAGTTCCTCTTTCGAAAGAAGGCGTTCTTCAATGTAAATAGGGCTTCTTCAAAAGAGAGCATCCAGACTCACTGGATGCTTTCTTTCGAAAAAGCAAGCCGCTTTTTCGAAATTTCTCCGTGCAGTCTAGACGCTCTCTTGCAAAAGAGGCTCTTTCGAAAGATGCTTTCGAAAGAGCCTCTTTCGAAAGAAGCCTGCAGTCTAGACATAGCCTTTGTGAGTGAGTTTAAGCAGGAGGACTACCAGGCCTCCAAGGAATTCGGGGCATGGAGGGATTGTGAATAAATAAGGGAAAATGTGTATTTAGTCACAATCAGGGTATTTTTCATTGTTTTGGTTGTTTGGTTAAACTTCTCTGTGTGACTCTATGCCTTCCCTCCCCCCGTCACCATATTCAAACTACTGCCCAAAGAGCTACGGTTCTTTGCGTTTTGAGCTGTTCTTTTTTAATAAGATCGCCTTTTTTAAGGTGATGAGTTGATTCTTTAGGTCCTGGAAGGTAACAGGAAGGCCCGTGTGTGTGCGTGCCTAGCCTGAGAGGTCAGCTATCAGAGATACACTTTGTTTTCTGTGGTTTTGCTTCCTTTTTTTAAGCTCTCTCGTGGCAGGGGAGCTTGGGAATTCAAGTGTTCCATTCTGTTTTCTCAAGGCTCTTTAAAATCACTTGATGATGGCAGCCTATCTTCCAGAGCCAGAGCATCTGTGACGCTGGAGAGTTTCGTTCTTTTTGTAAGCCGAGCCTGGGTATTCCAGGTCTTTTGCTGGCCCCCACCTTCTGCACTCGGAGTGCCAGAGAGGGGAGGAGCCCTGACACCTGGCCTCTGTTTCCCATTGCAATAGGTATGCAAAAAAAACTCTGGAATATTTATATTATGCCATAACTTTTGACAGAGCATGGAACAGAATTTAAAGACAGTCCCTGCCCTGAGGAGATCAAGATCCACACCAGGCAGAAAATGAAGGAGACACAAGAGAAGAGGTAAGGGAACGAGGGTAGAAACAAAATGGTTAGCCACGGCCAACTGTGAACGTACCTTGTAAGTCCGGCGGTTTTTAAGTGAACAATGAAAGTAGTCGCAGTTGACAAGGATTAACAAACAGCTCCAATGGTTCAAGAAATCAAGCCAGTCCCATTCTGCCCCACGTGCATTAACACTCCTCACATTCTTGGCACACCCATACACAAAGCTTGGAGTCTAAACGTGGGTGTTTGACAGATGCATGACAGGCCATATTTCTATCCAAACTCTGGTGGGAGTTCTCCTCACAGTTCTCTCTCAAGTAGCGCCTCTAATGCGCCTGCTTCACTAAGCAAGTAGGCGTCGGATGGTCTCAAACATTTACATTTACATTGGGAAAGTCCCTCCTTCTTGCCCTACCAGGAAAGGTGGTGTCACTTTCTGACTCTGAAGAGTTGGATGAAGGGGAGATACGCATTTAGTGCAGATAAAATGCTATGCTTAAAAGTCACTGGGGATGAAATCCAGTGGCTGTCTTGAACAAAGCTGAGGCGGTGCATTCATTTGCATATAGGAACGAGCCCACCAGATACTTGCTTACCTACACAGGCATAGGGCACTCACTTAAGAGTTGTGTTTGAGAAGCAATTACGCAAGACTTATATGGTCGTTAGAGCAAATAGAGCACTCACCTGGGGAGCGCAAGGTGGTGGGTTCAAGTCCTACCCACCCTGGGAGCAGCCAGACAGCCAACACAGGCTGCTGCAAGGATGGAGCTGGCTCCCATACTAGGAAGGCAGAAGAAGGGACCTGCTGAAGGAAAGGAGGCGGAGTGGGATCTCCAGTGAATTTTGAAGATCGAAAGTCTCCGCTTAGCTCAGGACAGCCGCTGCATTTCACCCTGACAACTTCTACATTTCTCTTACCTTGATGCCCTTCTTCAGAGACAAAAAGTGACCCCATCCTTTCTGGGAGGTCTTCACAAGAGGGTCTCCTTCAGCCTACATTTTACAAGCCCCAGTGAAGTAATAGAAGAGAGGGTCTTCCCGTGCAACAAGTTATCTGCCGCACAGTCAGATCTGTCAACTGTTCCACAAGCTGTGGCAGCTGACTGGAGAGCTCCGGTGTGATAACTGGGACTCATGTGTCATAGCCTGCATGCCTGTGGCAAGCTGCACTCCTTTGGCAAGCTTGTGTTTTTAAAAAATTCACCATGCAGAGACTCACCTAGTTTCACCTGAAGTGGGGATGGTTTATAGTTCATGGCTACGGTCTCTCCCTCCCTTGCATCGCAGTCTCTGTCTGAGATAGATGCAGCTGTTGGATCCTGTTTAAAAAAAAACCCCAACAACAATCAGACATGGTTTAGCAAACATAGAGAAGCAGTCATTGCTCTAATTTGCTGCTGGTTGAGTCCACCAGCACCTACGCTTGGTAGGAGAGGGAGCGCAGCTTTGTGTTTTAAATCACTTAAATCCTAACACAGACTCGACAGAGCAGGGGAAGCCATTTAATATGTTTAGGGAAATATCCGAAAAAAAATAATATCAGTTTTCAACAGGCTCAGATGATGGATCATCCAAGATAGGGATGCAAGAGGTTAACTATTAGCCTGCTTACAAGGTAACTGGTTAACCTACTTCCTCTCCCTCCCCCACACCCCAGAGCCAGGGCAGCCCCTGTGGTGAGTCTGGGATGGGAGCAGCCCCACACTGCCCTCGGGACTGAAAAAGCCCCTCATTGCACGCGTCTGGTAGTTAACTGGTTAAACAGTTTAACCAGTTAGTTATTGTAGGTGGTTTTTATATCCCTAATCCAGGGTACTGTAAATATAATAAGAGTTTTTCTGTCAACACTTCAAATCCAGCCCAGGTTGGTAGTAACCCAGAGCCATTGCCATGGGATGGCTGTTTGGTAGCCTGTATGAAATGCCATTCTAGTTTCTGTCAAATTCCTAGCTGGCATGTCCCTCTTCGTGACTAGTACTCCAGTAGTACCCCTCAGGGACGGCCAGGATCAACAGGACACGGAGGTCAAACTGCATGATGTGTGTGTGTGTGTGTGTGTGCGCGCGCGTGCGCGAGAGAGAGAGAGAGAGAGAGAAGGATCCTTTATTGTCTGTGCTGTACCCATTTTGCAGATAATGGAGTAGGTGTCTGTAGCACCTTACAGCAGGCACTGAAATTCTCTTAGAAAATCCAGATGTCTCATCTGCTACGGCCATGATCAGAAAACCCAGGTGGCGGTGTATGGTACAGGCTTTCACCAAGCCCATTAATGCACAGGTGGCTAATTTGCACAATCCCATTGCTAACAAAAGTTCTACCATCCATTCATGCAAAAACTGGTTTTCAAAAACTGGTTTTCAAAAAAAGATGCATTTCTTCCCATCTAGGAGCTAGACACTAAGCTGAAGAGGTAGGCAAATTGAGATTTACAACAGACAGAACTACATGGAAAAAGCACGTATCTAATATGAAATCCAAATATTCCAGGGATCCAAAATACTGGAATAGGCCATTTCAGGTAAGAGAGCTATTTTCAGACTCTTCATGTCTTGAAATTTGCAAGACTAGGTTTTCCTTTACCCGTTCCCCCTGCCTTCCGCCCCCACAAAACGCACAAATACCCTACAGAAAGGGGCCCCTATACTCTGCTAGAAAGAGAAGATCCTTTCGTGAACAATTCCTTTCCATAATGCCAAGAGCACTGAGCTGAACACACACCCATCTGTGCACAGAGTACGTTACGCCTTCTGAATAGAGTTACTCATTAAAAACACGCATGTCAGAACATTCAGGCTCAGTCTTAACAGAACTGCGACGTTTTAGCAAATTTAAGTTGGCAACATTTCACCAAGACATTCCTTCTTTGTGTTTCCTCAGCAGTCATTGCTTTCCACTAGTAGTAGCATTTTATGCGTACAGTCCCCTGGATTTCAAAATACTGTACAAGTGGCTTTTAGGAATGCCACAAAGACTGAAAGTGCTACTCTGATGAAGAGAGACATCAAATCTTCAATAACCTTCACTTCTCGGGGCCTGTTTTACAAGCTCTAGTAAAAGAGAGACTATCTGGAGAACTCTATAAAAAAACTGGCCTTTAAAATTCACCTACCCAATTACAGTTGGTCATGTTACACTGCAGATTGAGACAAGTCATTGACTAGAACACATACATTATAAACATTTTTTCACAACTCAGTATCTCCAGGTACATCTAGACTACATCCCTCTTTCGACAGAGCGATGTAAATTAGGCACTTCGAAATTGCAAATGAAGCCGGGATTTGAATTTCCCGCACTTCGTTTGTATAATGGCGTCATGGCACTCTTTTGAAAAAGCGCTATTTCGAAAGTAAAACCTCAGTCTAGACGCGGTTCTCTCGAAAAGGGAAGGCTTTTTCGAAATATCCTGTAAACCTCAAAAAATGTGGATGAACCCCACAATTAACTGTGTAACGGATCTAATTTTTTAATCGATTACATGGTTACTATGTTTATATATTTTTTACATCCCTACAGAGTGGCCCCAAAACCTATGCAAGAGGGGGAACGGTACAATAAAAGCAGCACCTGACCCTCAGGTAGAAAGTAATACATTGATGGAGCAAGAATCCCCCTTGTGCAACCAGGAGCCACCAGTTTGCCACTGAAGTGTGCATCGGGGCCTCCCCCTGGTGGAGCTAACACTAGGAATTAGTGACTGGGTGGGCCACACAAGTCAGTCAGTTCTCGACTGGGACAAGCTCAGGCTTCGACTGAAAACGACTCCATTTTAAGGTTAGTAGGTCCCCAGCAGACGGGAATGAGAATAGGCTTTCATCAACTCATCCCAGGGTCGCTCTTGGCTACATCATGAGCTTGACGGCACATATCCAGCCTGCTTAGCTCCAGACTTAAAACTGAAGGAAAATGGCGTCAAAACAGGAGATAGGGGCTCCGTGGCTTGCCAGAGCAGAAGGATTTTAGCATTTGCAGGATCATTTTATACCCACTGTGCAGCCAGGCACACGACAGAATAGCAACAAACCATACCAAAAGCGGGAAGGAATCCTCCTGCTATTTCCGTTGGAACTGTCTGTACACAAAATGGAATGCCCTGCTAGCGCGCATTTTGAGCAGATTACTCCACACACGCCATAGAAGCAGACTTGATTAATTAGCCCATTCGTTGCTCCTTGAAACACCTGTAAGCACTTTGAAATACCACCACATACATTTGCTAGTGTAATGGACTTTATGATTATTATTATTATTATTTTTTTTTTTTTACAGAATTCTCTAGATTGAGGCAAGCATTCTGTGTTCTGATTTTGAAATTGCAGCTACATCATGCATGCGTAACTGACTATCGGGCGACTATTTCGGTGTGCTGATTGGGATAAGCACAATACTTCTAGTCAGAAGGAAAACTTGAAGCCACTGAAGGGGGTTGACATCTTTGAGGGGTCGTCTTAGGGAATTTTAGAAATGCTAAACCTCCTTCTTCTTTCCTGGGGTGTAAGAAGTCACGCTATTGCAAGAATTGTTGCTTGGCAGCAGAATTTAATTTGAAGTCTCGTACCACACTCTTACAACATAATTGTGTGTGCACACAACTGCAATGTCCTAATTGCGGGGTCATATTCTTGCTGGGTTCGTTTGTTTGCTTCTCTAGCAGTGGGGGAGCAGAAACCTTACCTTTTTGCCAAGTTCAGCATCGTCCTGACCTTCCAAAATGGGCCATTTCTGGTTAAAATTTTGTTTTTGCAAGCATGTGTGTGAGTAACCATTGCTCGACCATTCACCAAGAGCAAATAAAGAAGGGACAATGAGACATTTTTTCAGGTTGGTAAGGAATGCGCACGGTTCTCCCTCCTCAGTATTTAACCAGCGTAGCTAAGAATGCAAGCTCTGCCATGTCAGATCAGACCGATGGTCCATTTAATGGGACATTCTGCCTCTTACGGTGGCCAATCTAGAAGAGTGGTCTCCAACCTTTTTAACCACAAGATCACTTTTTCAATTAAGTGCAATGAAAGATCGACCTCAAATACAAATATACTTGCCCGGCTTCCTTCCCGCCCCTTCTGAGGCCCCGCCCCTGCTCCAACCCTTCTCTGAGGCCTCAGCTTGCTCACTCCATCCCCCTTCCTCCCCAAACCTCATTCACTCTCACCAGGCGTGGGTAGGGGGTTGGGGTGCAGGCTCTGGTCTTGGGCCAAGGGGTTTGGAGTGTGGGAGGGGCTCCGGGCTTAGCCTGGGGTGGGGGATTGGGGTCCAGGAGGGGGTTCAGGATGCAAGCTCTGGGAAGGAGTTTGGGTGCAGGGGGACTCACATCTGGGGCAGGAGGTTGGATTCAGGAGGGGTTTCAG